GACTGGATGTGGCACTTAGTGCCATAGACTAATAACCACAGTAGAGTTGGACTCGATCTTTGAGGTCTCTTCCAACCTGGTTGATTTTATGATTTTTATGACAAATCATCCAACAATCATGGTAGGCAGACCACACATGCTGGAAACAGTAACATTTTAGCTTTTTCCTAAAGCTTGCACGTTCTTGGGCAGGTAGTGCTCAGCAAAGTGATTTATTAACAGTGAAATGTAGTTTATTTCTACATTAATCAGTGCTTAATGTTAAAAAAAGCAAAGAACCGAATGACTAGACCTAACTGGCTGTGGGAGTTGGGAGAACAGTGGTTTAACAGTATTTTCACTAAAGGCACTTTTGATTAGTTTCATCCTTCATTAGTTCTTGTCAGTTTTTATTAGCCGCTTTTATCACTTAGTTCAGCAAGAACCAAATTAGAACAGGGCTGAAAGATAATTGTGTACCTCAGCTGTACCTTGTAAAGCATTCACTGTTAGCAACTCAATCAGAGACTTGGAGAACAGAGATGCAAAGCAATTTGCTATTTTGGGTTTCTAAATAAAGTCTTCACATGTGCTGCTGAACACTTATTGTTGTAACAGTAGTGTCTTTTCAACTTGGAAAATTATAATGGTGCTAGAATGAGACTCTATTAAAGCACTCGCTTAGCCAGAGCAGCATGGCAAGGAGAGATGAGAAGATAAAGAATTATCTTTAAGAGTGTCTAATGCAAGGTTTGCTGCCCATGGCAGGGCATTGGAACTACATGATCTTTAAGGTCCCTTCCAACACAAACCATTCTATGCTTATATGATTTATTTTTTTTGCTTCAGAAGTCAATGAATTTTATTTCTTGTGTTACATTGCCATGAGTGGCATGCTCAGTTCCTGCACTGTGTGCATCCCATTGGCCTGCTGCAGCTGATGGGCTTGTCTGGGGCCAGAACTGTTCTCTTCTTATATTCATATCAGTTGCTTAGAATGTTTGGGCTCCAACTTAGTGCATGTTTTTCATCTGTATCAAAATGGTAACCGGTTTTCTTATCCCTCCAGGCAATGCAGTTAGTGTCACAGAGTCAAGGAATTCTGTTGCCTTGGTGAATTACAGAGCTTTGTATCCATTTGAAGCAAGGAATCATGATGAGATGAGCTTCAATACTGGGGATGTAATTCAGGTGAGATTTGCCATTCACTCACACAAGGCCCTAAGGGTCAGAAGCATTACAGTGACATATTTTAAGGTTTACTCAAAGTTTAAATTGGATTGCTGCTTTTTTTAAAAAAAAACAGGTGAAATTAGGATTAGTTCAACCAAAATATTTCTCTGAATCTTACACATCCTAGAGATGTTGAGAATCTCTTTAAAAATAACAGTAGTGAATGTTAACATAAACTTTCAGAAATTAGTAGGTCAGAAATGACGTAGTTGTTGCAGGTCATTGAAGATGTACAAGTTGGCCTCTTAAGTGTCTGCTTGAAATATGAGCGTAGTAAATAGAGGAATGAGTTATTGATTAATGGCATTTGAATTAAAAACAAACTAGTTATTTAACAAGTAGATGTGAAAGTTCCTTCTGAATCTTAATATTGTTTTCTAATGCATTGTTAACATAGATTTCTGTCTTCCTGAGCAACCTGGTCTAGTGGAAGGTGTTCCTGCTCATGGCAGGGGGTTTGGAACTAGGTGATCTTATGGTCCTGCCAACCAAACCGTTCTGTCATCTCTTGCTGACTGGTCCTTTATAAATCCTCCTTCAGGCAGATATCTATAGTAATTTATTCCATGTCCATCCTTTCCAGCACTTTTTTGGATTCAGCTGAACTTGCTGTCTATAATATTACAGCAGGACCATAAGCTTGGAAACGTCTTCTGGCATTTCAGTTGAAATCTGTGTTATTGCATATAGTTCTATCATTTGTCAGCATACATGTTTTTGAAAGCCTGTGCCTTCAGGTGAATGTGTGGAAAGTGATTTTCAGCCATGGTAATGCAATTCCTAATGTATAAGTGTGTATGGTTCCTCCTCATTCAGACTATAAGTGATATAGGTAGGTGATAAGGGAGAATTCACGAAGCTATGTGGTGTGAAATATTTAAGTATTAGCTTTCAGTTTGACAGTGTTAAGTCATTTATTTGCATTTTCTTACCAATGAAGCATGGAAGAGGGAACAAGAGAAGTAGGTTTTGCTTTGACTTCCTTCTTAGCTATAATTGTACCATTTAACTACTGAAATAAGCTAACAGCTGCCACGTCCTCCTCCTCTTCTACCCCAAGCCTCAGCTAAGCTAACTAGTTGGTAGTATGTGAGGAGCTACTAATTTTTTAGCCAATTTTGACTAATTTGCAGCATAATGGAGGCTTCAATATTGCTGTGAATGTTTAAGGATGCTCTGTACTTAATCATATAGTAAATAACAGAATTTTTGGATGTGTTTTGGCTGCAGTCAGCTGACACAGTTAATTTATATCTGTAAGCAGAACGGCAGCAGTTGTTTCCTGCTCTGCTGGGCTCGGCAGCTGCTGTCTCTCTTTGCACATTCAGCAAAATGCAACACAATTCACTGTAATTTTTGGCAAGCCAGAGTGGCTCCATATCCCTATGTGCATGTCTGGGACCCGTATGAAGGAGTACAGTGTCTCTGAGGCCTGTCTCTACCTGTGTCTGGAACCAGTGCAGTTGCATCATCACCCTATTTCAGGAACAGGGAAAATCAGCTCACTTGTGAAAGGGAAGGAAATGAAAATGATGATCCTCTTGTGAGCACTGCACACTGTTCAGAGTGCCAGCAGGTGCTGACACCCCAGGTACCCTGTTTGTCTCTTGCTGCTAATTCTGTTTTCTTTGTATTTATCCTCCTGTCCGTAGGTTGATGAAAAAACTGTGGGAGAACCTGGTTGGCTTTATGGGAGTTTTCAAGGACATTTTGGTTGGTTTCCATGCAATTATGTAGAAAAAATACCAGAAGGAGAAAAAGTTTTATCTCCTAAGAAAGCCTTACTTCCTCCTGCAGTATCTTTATCTACTACCTCAGCTGCTTCAGAGTGAGTTTTTGTTATGTTTGTGTTAAAATTGCTTTTTCTAAATTTAGCTAGCACATAATGTGCTATATAGTTTCACTTGGTGTTTGTTTTTAAAATATAAAGGCGGAAAACTTACTGAAGAACATACTTAAAAGTTTTAGCTTGAAAATGTAAAGTATTTGATAGTCTAGTTTGAGTTGTATATATCTGTTTTATAGATGTTAAAGTTACTCTGCTTGAGGGACTTTTAAAATAAGAATTGTAATCTGGTAAATATGCCTGTTTTCAATTTGCAGACCACTTTCACCAAGTAAATCTGCAGAAGAATCTGATTACCAAAACATCCCTTTTTCTAGCCTGAACGTTAATACAGCCTGGCAACAGAAATCAGCTTTTACTCGCACTGTGTCCCCTGGATCTGTGTCACCCATTCATGGACAGGTACATTGTGTGAGAGTGGGGAACTTGCTGTATTTGTTAATGATTTAAAGAAAAAGCAAAACAACACACGTTTGCTAATGCTGAGTGCACTGGACAGGCTAGAGGAGAAAGAAGCTCCTTGGAATGCTCCAGTAGTGTGCATTGACATAGTTTTGTATGTTTCTAGGGACCACTGAGCAAGATTTTTTTCATAATTCAAAGATCATTCTCACCTGTAATTAGACACAGAAGGTATTTTTAACAAATAAGAAACTGAGTTGCATGCATACATCAATATAAAAACAAAAATCAGCTGTCACTTAGGAATGAAGGTGCTTAAACTTCAATAAAAGATACATCAATGTTTGTTTTTAACACCTGCAGCAGTTTTGGATAGGGTGGTCAATCCTCATCTCCACTTCTGTCTTTCAGGGACAGCCTGTTGAGAACCTAAAAGCACAAGCACTTTGCTCTTGGACTGCAAAAAAAGATAACCACTTGAATTTTTCAAAGAATGATATCATTACTGTCCTGGAGCAGCAGGAGAACTGGTGGTTCGGGGAGGTACATGGAGAAAGGGGTTGGTTTCCAAAGTCGTATGTCAAGCTCTTACCTGGGAGTGAGATCAAGAAGGAGGAGTAAGTATGACTGTTATGTTGTTTTATTCAACAGTTTATAAAAAGAGGTGATTTAGAGTACAAAATTCTTGCAGTGCTCTAGTGTGCAGAATATAAATATTGTTTACAATTAACACCATGTCATTTTAGGCTTTTATTATTACATTCTGGCAATCCAAGTAACACTGTGCGCCCTGCTGTGTAAATAGACAGTCTTGCTAGGCTGAGTGCTGTGAAAAAAACAGTGGTGTTTGATTATTCAAGTGCCAGACTTGGTTTGTTCATTACCAGCTCCCTTGCAGTGCAGTTGCATTCTGCCTCTGAAGGTGACAATTTTAAAGTGACCTACAATTAGTTGTAAGCTCATGAGGCAGAAGTAGTGTTTTTGTCTTTACTCTAAAAGATCATTATGTCTGTTTTAATACTGCAAGGTAGCTGTTCAGGTAATAATCCAAAGTCTGGTTGCTGCTGGCACCATTGTGTTTGAATTACTCTTTTCATGCATTATGATAGGAGTTCTTAGAAATTCTTTAGAATAAGAGAGTTTAGTTAAAGTCTTTAATTTACCTGATTTGGATAACGTAGTTTGCAAATGTATCTTCTTGTTTTTCATCCCATGACTTTTTTTGTTTTTTAAATTGGTGTGCTTTTGCATGCCATTAATGTATTAAATATCAGTAATATCTGATGCTGTTTGACATTCAGGGAAGTCTTTGCAGTTAATTCAGAGGCAATGCCAACTCTGAGACAACCAAAGTGAACTTAGTCTCATCCTAATTGAGAGATTCATCCTTGATCAACCTTTCAGTTACACAAACCTTTTTTTTTTTTTCCTTCTCTCTGCAGACCAGAAGCTATTTATGGAACTGTAAACAAAAGGCCTAATACACAGTGTTACACAGCAGGAGAGGGTAAGACAGCATGAAATATGGTACTTAATGCTACAGTCTCTTTCTGCTTAATGTCACATGAGCAAACTTAAATTTGTGATGAGATTCTGAGTGGCCCTTTTAGTGCTTTCCAAAAGACACAGTGCAGATGTTATGCTACTGATATGAGACTTCTAAATAGGAACTTAAGTGAACTTAACTGATTAGGGTTGAGCACAGGTCTGGGGTTTGGGTTGGTGCTTTAAGACTTTTGCTTATGCATGAATTTATTTATGAAACCTTAAATATGTCTCATACCTATAAGCCAAGTTCTTTTCCTGCTGTTCTCTGCTGTGTTATGCTGTACTGCAGAGACATGAGAATGGATTTTCACTCTTCTGAGTGTGGTTCATTCTCTTGTAATCAGTAAGGAATAGAGAAAAATATCACTGGAGAAAAATTTGTGGGAAGCACTTTCTAAGCCTTTCAATCTAGTGTATCTCTGTGCTTCCCTGACTGCATTTTAATGGCACCTGTGCTTTTATTTCAAAGTTGTGTTGTTGTAAGCATGGGGTGAGATGGTGTTGCAGTTAAGCAACTAGATATGTCAATTCACAGACTTGTGGAGACATGATCCGTGTTATGAACACACTGATGAATGATGATATCTCTTTATTTGCTTCTGATGCACTTTATTCCCCTGTCTGAATCCCCTGTCTCCTTCTTTGTGTGCTGTTTGCACAGAGTATGTTGCACTCTATTCGTATTCAAGCTCTGAGCCTGGTGACTTGACTTTCACGGAGGGTGAGGAAATCCTAGTGACCCAGAAGGAAGGGGAATGGTGGACTGGGAGCATTGACAGCAGAACTGGAATCTTCCCCTCCAATTATGTCAGGCCAAAGGATCCAGAAGTGAGTTCATACTCAGAGAATTAACACACAGTATTTTCTCTCAGTTTTGTTCCATTGATACATAGTTCTTGGGTAGTGATTTTAAGCAGATATTAATGTACTTGACAGAGAAGAAAATCCTCAGTAGCTTGAGTGCTAAATCAGTGCTCTAGTCAGTGTCACCCTGTCTCTCTTCATACAGGATAGTGTGTTGTTAAATCCAGGCTCAAAATTAAAATCTCCATGTGCTTTTAGTGTAAACTCTGCTGGTTTTACTGCATATTAAAAACTGGTTATTGTGTCTTTGTAGGCTTCTAGTTATGCTGGCAAAACTGGAACAATAAATAAGAAACCGGGTAAGTGTGTGATAACTTTCTAACATCTAAGACTGTTTCTTGAGTAACTCTGAGCATTTCTGTTCATGACAGTGTTTTAGTGGCCGTTGTTCTTAGCTGCATGATACATACCAGGATATTTCTGTGTATCTAGCTCTTACTGCAATGCAAAAATAACAAATGCAATTTAATATGTTTTCTTTTCAGAAATTGCTCAGGTTACTACTGCCTATACTGCGTCAGGAACTGAACAGCTTAGTCTTGCTCCAGGACAGCTAATACTTATTCTGAAGAAAAATGCCAGTGGATGGTGGCAAGGAGAGCTGCAGGTAGTTACTCAAGGGGAAATAGCTGTGACTTCAAGAATGGCAAGGAGAGCTCTCTTGGCTTCAGTTGAAAAAACCCTAAATGTAGAGTTATATAAAAGCTGGCCAGAAAGTTATTTCCATCTTGTATAAACCAAGGTGGAGAAAAAGAGTTGGGTTTTTGGGTTGTTTTTTTTTTTTTAATCCTTGGGTTGCTGGGGGCTTTTCTACGTTTTGGGGTAGATTTTCTTGGTCACAGAAAATTGTAAAACTGTCAATGCACATGTGCGTGGGAGGGGGAAGAGGGAAGTTGACATTTAATAAATTGGTAAAACATTAAACTGAACAAGTGTTTTTGGAAGCTGGAGTTGGAAGCTGGTTTATTGCAAAGGTGGCTGTTCCCAGTTTTCTCC